TTATTTTATCTTTGTTATTAAAAATAAGAACAGATGCAAAAAAACAACAATGTAACAAATATAAGAAACAAATAGTGCATTACTTTTTTCATTTTACATCCAAATAAAAGCATTCAAGTAAGAAAAACAAACAATAAAATGTAAAAATCACTTGTCACGCTGATTATTAAACCTACAGAAGCGGTTCAATCAAGAGCAGTGATCTTTTCTTTCATAGTAGGTCCTGCTGTACTGCACGGCTCGAATCTAATGTTCCACCTCAGAAGTGTTCCTCAAACGTTCAGAACCGATTCTGTAGAGAGAGAGTGAGTGAGTGAGTATGTGCGAGAGTGTGTGTGTTTGGAGCTCAACTAGTGAAATAAACAGACTTTCAGCAGAAAAGCACTTCATATTCAGTCTTTCCTATATTAAGCAGCAAAAGAGAGCAAACATTGCTGATGGGAGATCTTGTACTCACAGGTGTGTGTAATGATTCTGTCAGACAGGATCAACAAAAACAAAACAAAATAAACAAAACATTAAATATATTAACACAACTCTGACTTACCAATTTATTTTAATTCCTTCACACTCACCCAAATATTTCATTTTACAACAGATGTCTATAAAATAATCAGTGCACATATTAGCACATTTTAATGACTTAATGCCTGATTGTCATTTGCATACACTCATTTCAGTGGGAGGTGGGGGGGGTCTTGAAATGTTATAATAACAGTATTTAATTTGACTAATCAAATATGAATATTTGATTAGTCAAATGTAAATCATATGGGCGTGGTTACCACTCAGATGCTGGAAGGTCTGAGAAAGTACATGGTAATGTAGGCTGTAGTTCTGGTGATTGAAGGGCCCCTCAAGGGGTAAAGCCCAGGGGCCTCTTACAGTCCTAATGTGGCCCTGAACACCAGTACCCAGTTTTTTGCTATTTTATTTATGTACTTTTTTAATCTTATATTTGACAGGATATCATATGGGCGTGGTTACCACTCAAATACTGGAAGGTCTGAGAAAGTACATGTTAAGTGCCCGCACATAGTTTAAGTCTATAAAAATTGTTAAGGTTTAAATTCTAATATAAACAGTATTTCAACCGACAATATAAATGTGTATTACATGTGTTCATTCAATTTCATGCAAAGTTGTGCAAGTTTTTTTTTAAATCAAGTTTTGTTACTGTCCCAATTTACCTGAACATGTTAGATAAATTGGGACAGTAGCATTCAGCTAAAGTGGGACATCTTATAAATGAAAAGATAATACATTGCTTAATGTTTTATTTTACAAAAAAATGTCACAAACTGTAGGCAGAAGCCAGGAAATGAAAAAAATAAGAATAGAGATGTGTGACTATTTAGTTTTTGTGCGTAAAAGTGCCTGTAAACAAACACATGCCTGCACTCACCCATACTTACACACATACTACATAAACACACAAATATAAAAGCAAGTTACTTACACACACACACACACACACTCTCTCACACTATCTCACACACACACACACACACACACTCTCTCTCTCTCTCTCTCACACACACACACACACTCTCACACTCTCTCTCACACACACACACACACACTCTCTCTCTCTCTCTCTCACACACACACACACACTCTCACACTCTCTCTCACACACACACACACACACTCTCTCTCTCTCTCTCTCACACACACACACACACTCTCACACTCTCTCTCACACACACACACACACACTCTCTCTCTCTCTCTCTCACACACACACACACACTCTCACACTCTCTCTCACACACACACACACACACTCTCTCTCTCTCTCTCTCACACACACACACACACTCTCACACTCTCTCTCACACACACACACACACACTCTCTCTCTCTCTCTCTCACACACACACACACACTCTCACACTCTCTCTCACACACACACACACACACTCTCTCTCTCTCTCTCTCACACACACACACACACTCTCACACTCTCTCTCACACACACACACACACACTCTCTCTCTCTCTCTCTCACACACACACACACACTCTCACACTCTCTCTCACACACACACACACACACTCTCTCTCTCTCTCTCTCACACACACACACACACTCTCACACTCTCTCTCACACACACACACACACACTCTCTCTCTCTCTCTCTCACACACACACACACACTCTCACACTCTCTCTCACACACACACACACACACTCTCTCTCTCTCTCTCTCACACACACACACACACTCTCACACTCTCTCTCACACACACACACACACACTCTCTCTCTCTCTCTCTCACACACACACACACACTCTCACACTCTCTCTCACACACACACACACACACTCTCTCTCTCTCTCTCTCACACACACACACACACTCTCACACTCTCTCTCACACACACACACACACACTCTCTCTCTCTCTCTCTCACACACACACACACACTCTCACACTCTCTCTCACACACACACACACACACTCTCTCTCTCTCTCTCTCACACACACACACACACTCTCACACTCTCTCTCACACACACACACACACACTCTCTCTCTCTCTCTCTCACACACACACACACACTCTCACACTCTCTCTCACACACACACACACACACTCTCTCTCTCTCTCTCACACACACACACACACACACACTCTCACTCACACACACACACACACATACTCTCTCACTCACACACACACAGGAGCAGGCACATCATAGATTAAATCATGGCATTTTTACACTACAATGTATTTCTGTTTAAATGATTAAATTCTTTGTTTTTGGCCTTCTGTTAAAGTGTTTTAAATGCTTCTATTAGAGGGCTTTAATAATTCTTAAAATTTATGCTTCTGTTGAAATGTTTTAATTCAATAAGCGCTAGGTGGTTATGAGTTCACTGTCAATAGCACAATCCACTAATATGTCTTTTTTATGAAGTTATTCTTTTAAATTCTGAAGATTTTCTATTGCAAAAGATTATTTGTATTATTTTGTAAGCACAGACTAGATAAAAATGTGTGTCCCACTTTACCTCAAAAAACCCAAAGAAAAAAATGGGTACATTTTTGAATCTCTGTATGTTTAAAACTACAACCAATATTGTTTCAACATACTGGGAGATATACAAGAGACTTTGAGAATTTGTTCAAAGCATAAATAGTGTTGGTAGAATAGATTTATTTGTATTTAATACACGGCTTACCAAAAAGTGTCCCAATTTTGCTGACTTCACCCTAACATTTCTCCGTTTGCTTCTCGCACTGATTGACATCTGAAACACGTGCATAAAGACAACACCGACGGTGTCTGATCCCGATAATTACAGTCTTTCAGTCTTCCCATTAATATTAATCTAACAATAAAAGACAAGAGGGAATCACTCGCTGCTCTTGATTGAACTGCTTTTGTAGTTTTAATAATTCATTTATTTGTAATGAACACACTAAAGGGATTTTTACATTTGATTTGTTTTTCTTACTTGAATGCTTTTGTTTAGTAATGCACTACACTGGTTTCCTATGTTTGTTCTTTTTTGCATCTGGTCTTATAACAACAAAGATTAAAAAAAAAACTATATTGTGATTTTTAATATAGCAATGATTATTAAGAAAACAACTGGAGGTAAAGATGTAATATTGCAGGTGATTTTTGCTTTGAAACCTTCAGAAAATTTTAACTCGATTTTCCTCGAAATGGACCTTGCTGACCTCATCGACTTCAAACAGGTGTAGCTCAGGCATTAAAAAAAAAAACAAATGTAACAATAGCCAACAATACATTGTATGGGTCAAAATTATACATTTCTCTTTTATGCCAAAAATCATTAGGATATTAAGTAAAGATCATGTTCCATGAAGAGATTTTGTAAATCTCCTACTGTAAATATATCAAAACTTAATGTTTGATTAGTAATATGCATTGCTAAGAACTTCATTTGAACAACTTTAAAGATGATTTTCTCAATATTTAGATTTTTTTGCACCCTCAGATTCCAGATTTTCAGATATTGTCCGATCCTAACAAACCATACATCAATGGAAAGCTGCTTTTATTTTTATTTCAATAAAAAAAAAAAGACCCTTATGACTGGTTTTGTGGTCCAGGGTCACATATATTCATTTATTTAAAAAAAAAGTCAAAAACTTTCTCAAGGAATAAAAATTGTCAGGTGCTCAAGCCCTCTTTGATGTCTGTGTGTCTCTCTCTCTGTCTGTTCCAGGATGAGCTGTAAGGTGGTGCTGTGGCTGCTGCTCGCCGGCCTGCTGTGTCTCGCCTCCGCCGGCCGTAAAAGCCGACCGCAGGGATCCATCCCGTCGCCCTACAAGACCAACTCCAACACCTCCGACCGGCGCGCTCGCAAACAGGAAGTGCTGGCCTCCAGCCAGGAAGCTCTGGTGGTGACGGAGCGCAAGTACCTGAAGAGCGACTGGTGCAAGACACAGCCGCTGCGGCAGACGGTCAGTCAGGAGGGCTGCAAGAGCCGCACCGTCATCAACCGCTTCTGCTACGGCCAGTGCAACTCCTTCTACATCCCGCGGCACGTCAGGAAGGAGCAGGAGTCCTTCCAGTCCTGCGCCTTCTGCAGGCCGCAGCGCTTCACCAGCCTCACCGTGGAGCTCGAATGCCCCGACCTGCAGCCGGATGTCCGCTATCGCAAGATCCAGCGCGTCAAGCAGTGCCGCTGCATGTCCGTCAGCGTGTCCGAGTCTGGGAAACAGTGAGATCCTGACCACTTTTCACTGGAAACAGCTGCTGCTAATCTGAGCTGAAAGACTGCAAGGCTTCAGCATGCCATCTTAATACTGTCCTGCTGGACGCTGGTCACTATCAGTCACCACTGGTCACTGTCGGTCACCATTGGTCTCCAACGGTCTCCATCAGTCACCGTTGGTCACTATCGGTCATCAGCAGACATTATCGGTCCCTACTGGTCTCCATTGGGCACTCTCAGTCATCATTGGACACTATTGGTCACCATAGGTCTTCATTGGTTACTATCAGTCATCACTGGTCTCCATCGGACACTATTGGTCTCCATTGGTCACTCTCGGTCATCATTGGACACTATCATTCATCATTGGTCACCATAGGTCTTCATTGGTTACTATCAGTCATCATTGGTCTCCATCGGACACTATTGGTCACTATCAGTCATAACTGGACACTATTGGTCACAATCAGTCATCGTTAGACACTATTGGTCACCAACAGTCACTGTTGGTCACTATTGGACACTATTAGTCACTATCAGTTATCATTGGACACTATTGGTCACCATAGGTCTTCATTGGTCACTGTTGGTCACTATAGGTATTCATTGGTTACTATCGGTCACCACTGGCCTCCATCGGACACTATTGGTCACTATTGGTTATCATTGGACACGATCAGTCATCATTGGACACTGTTGGTCACTATCGATTATCAATGGTCACCATTGGTCTTCATTGGTCACTATTGGTCACCATCAGTCATCATTGGTCACCAAGGTCATTATCAGTCACTAGAGAGAGTGTGGAAACTAACTGACGTGCAGAGAAATGACTCCACAGTGAACTCTATGCAGGAGCTGCTGCCACCTGTGTGATGATCAATGATAGTTAACACCAAACATGCATAACTAGACTGATTGTAGAGATTCTATAGAAATATGGTACAGCAAAAGTATATATATGTAGAGAAACAACTTAAGTCTATATTAAAACTATTGAGTTCTATTCTCGTCTTCTGTTTTTTAGGGGTTCAGTCTGGTTTATCTAAAGCTGACATGGGAAAACTAGCCTTTATGGGGTTTAATCCGGTTGGTTTTTCTCCATTGGTTAGTAGTTATTTTGCAGTAGAGTTTGATTTGCACCATTTAAAAACCCTGGAAGATTCACATTATTATGTTTGAGAACCTCTGCAGATTTGCGGGGAAAATTGGTGCACTGGATATTAAGGCCCGCCCACACCAAGAATGATAACTATAACAAAGTTTCAATAATTGCTGTAACTATAAGAGAACAGTGGAGTCCTCATCGCAACTACATATGGACTTTTTAGTCTCACAATTCTTCTCACTTTTTTCCTTGCAATTATTGGTTTATAGCTCACAGTTCTGAATTTTTCTCACAATTCAGAATTGCAAGATATAAACTCAGAAATGCAATATATGAACTCCGTACTGCATCCGAAAAGTCTGAATATTCGAGAAAACACGCAATTGTGAGAAAAAAAAAAGTCAGAAGTGTGATTGTCAAAATTACGAGATGCAAACTCAAGAATTAAGAGGTCATTAATTCGCTTTCAATTTATATCTTTTAATTCGGACTTTTTCACTGAATTGTGAGTTTAAATCTGACAATTTTGATTATATCATGCAAAATGGAGGAAAAGTCAAAATTGTGAAATGTAAGCAAGCGATTGTGAGAAAAGGTCAGAAATGTCAGATTAAAAAATAATCGCAATTAACTTTTTTTTAATTTCATGGTAGAAAAAAAAGAAACAATTCCAAGATGTAAACTCAGAATTCTGACTTTCTTGCAATTATGAATTTACATCTCGCAATTGACTTTTTCCTCTGAATTGCACGTTTTTGTCTTCTTGCATGCAAATATCTTTTTTCTCAGAATTGAGAAAATCGTGAGATACAAACTTTACAAAATTTAGAATTGTGAGAAGTCGCAATTACCTTTATTATTTTTTAATCTGGCGACAGAAATAATATATCCATAATATAACGATCACCTTCAAAGCGATTTTGCAGAATGTAACTTAAGTGCACTTACAATAAACAATGTTATCGTCCGTTTGTGTGAACGCTAAGCATTATTAGAGCATTATTTCCATTATCTGGAGGAGTGATGGATTTCTCAAAAAAGTGCTTTCCCTCAGTTTGACATGAGTTGTATTTCCTGCTTCGGAAACCTTCCAGTAAACACCGGGATTAGAAAATGACATCGTAAAACATCCACATAAAAAGCAAACCAGGAAAGAGACGTGAATGAGGATTTGGGGAGGAAAAACAAGAGATTCTTAAGCATTCCAGCTAATTATTTATGGTATATGTTCATTTAATCAGAACAATAGACCATGAGAATGCAGGATCTGTTGTCTTTTCCATATTGTTAATCTTATAATGTGAAATGATGTGTTCGAGTCATTCTGAATGGCAGTTTTTGTTGTGAACGTCCCTTTAACACAGTAAAACGTGTTAAACTGAGCTGAGAGTCCTGAACTCTTATTAGCGTCTGAATAATAACCAACAAAATCTACTTCAATCCTGCAGACGTTCATAAGACTAGAAAACATCCCATGGTGAATATGCACGTAAATCTCCAATCGTGTGAATTTATTAATCCCTTTATTTTACATAAATTACACTCTTCTCAAAACGTTCCGATACAAACAGTTATTGCACATGGAGCGCAGACGTCCATCCACACCTCCGACACGCACATGCTAAAAACAAACCAATGCTACATAAACATGTTAATATTTACATTAATTTAAAAAACATCCTCTTAAATTCATCGCGCGAGTGAGTGAATGCAGCAAAAACAGAAAACAATCTTGCATAATTTCACAAAAACACTGAGTAGATTCCTGAACGTTCGCCGCCGACTGATCGGATTCATACTGTACATACTGGAGTGTCTCTTTCAGGTCCTGTAGGACTGGAGTGTGCTTTGAACATGTTAAACCACAGCTGATGACTAGAGCACTAAACTGCACTAACTAGTGTTGGTCTAAAAGCATGTGACGGTGCAGATGCTTAAAATAAAGACGCATCAGAAATCCAGATACTCTTGCTTTCTCTTGCCTTTTTTCGTCTGTTAAAAATAAAACAACTTCGTTTTGATGATATTGCTTCAGTCCTCCAGTATGCACGGTGATATGTAACGTCTGATATGTTCATCCGTCAGGACACAGGATATGACATCACATTCAGACGGCGGATCACTTCCTGTGTGGTACGGCAGACGGCAGAGTAACACTGAAGATTTACAGATGAAACGTCACAAGAGTCAGTCCACATCCGCCTCAGATCTTCATGCCCAACTTTGCTTTCTGAGAAGAAATAAAGAGGCTCATTTAATAAAAGTTTAATCTCATGCTGCTTTCAATCCATTCAGCTCTCATAATCTCAATTTCACCTGTACAAATGGCAACATCCTGAAAATAAACCTGCGTCTGAATTTCTCATAGCTCACTGGAAACACTTTTATAAAGGTCAGTGCATTAAGTGTTCATTTCAGGACCATGAGGAACGATTAGAGGTGAGCAGCGTCTAGAGCTCTGGAGAGACTCCTCAGAATCAAAGCTTTAGAGCTCATATACTTTAATCATTAATAATCGATTCTCATTTTTACGGAACGATATTGATTCTTAAATCCCAAGAATCGATTAGTCTAGCCTGTTTTCAGTTACTGTAATGAATGGAACATTGATTGAAGGGCACTTCCCAACCAATTAAATCGCAATAAGCTCTGTGCTTTGGTACTTTTAATATGAAACAAAGTCTCAGATTTCAAATTCTGTCCGTTGTATTGCAGTATTCAAACATAAATGCAGTTTTGGCGCTGTTTAATGTGGCGTGATCGCTGTAGCGCCTCAGTTCAACAGACGTGAACTGATCATCTCCTCCGCTTTATTACTAGTTATAGCACAAAATAAACATGACTAAACATCCGAAGGTACGTTAAAAGAAAGAGTACAACTTTACAATCCGTATCCCGTCTCATGTAATCGCTCAATCAGTGTTTCAGCCGGACAAAGACCTCAATATAACAGATTGTAAACAATACACGTAACGTCACATTTACCTCAGAAACACATATTCGGTGACCTATATATATATATATATACCTATATATACCGATATAGCCTGAACATATTCATTATAATTTTTACTGTTCTTCAATGTTTAATTTGTTTGAATAAATACAACAAGTTATGACAGCCACCATTTAAATGTTTATATGACAAAACTATTATGTAATTGTAACTTTATTATTTTAAAAACTTAATTAAGTGTAATTTTTGCAGTTGTATAGCCTACAAATATAAATAGAATAGATAAATAGAAAATATCAACTGACTGATTTTTTATATTGCTCTAATCATAACTATAAGGCATGATGATATTAAGATATTATAAACATTAAAAACGATTTCGTGATTGTCTGTTAGGCTGCTTTGAAACCATGCAAATTGTAAATAAAACAGCTTACGATTCCAGACGCGTGCTTGGGTTTGACGCTGTATGTGGCTTTTTCTTTGACCTGCCGGAAACACTCCTCCGCCGCCTTCAGCCTGAGAAGCAACATGAAGAGAGAGAGAGAGGAACAGATAGAGTTACTGACCCCTGACTGAGTACAGACATCCACATCATACTCCACAACATACTCCACAACATACTCCACAACATACTCCACAACATACTCTACATATTCTACATCATACTCAACGTCATACTCTACGTATTCTACATCATACTCAACGTCATACTCTACGTATTCTACATCATATGATGTAGCGTATGATGTAGAATATGTAGGATATGATGTAGCGTATGATGTAGAATATGTAGAATATGTTGTAGGGAATGATTTAGAGTATGATATTGAATATACTGTAGAGTATGCTGTATTCTACATCATACCCCACATCATACTCCACATATTCGACCATAAGCTACAGCATACAGTACAACATACTCAACGTATTCTACATAATACCCTACAACATACTCTATATCATACCCCCCCCAAAAAACCTATATAGACAATATAAAAAATATGAAAAATGACAAACTCAAATTACTAAAAGTAAATTGAATACCTAAAACAAAAAAAACGAACTAAAACTTTATAAAAACTGTACAGACTATATTAAAAAACAAAAAATGACAAAAGCACAATCACTTACTTTAAAATTTAAATAACCAAACTAAATCTTAATAAAAACGATATAAACAATATAAAAAGAAACCCTAATAAAAATGACTAAAATACAAGACTACTAAAATTTTAAAATAATATTCAAATAACTGAAACTAAATAAAACTAAATCTTAAAAAACTGCATAGACAATTAAAAAAATAAATTACAAAAACAGACAAAAGTAAACTTAAAACTGTAACATTTAAAAAAAATAATAATAAAGCTTCAACGGAACATCAATGATACTAAAACGACACTGGTATGATGTGCCGCGTGTCTTGAGTTTGTCTGTAGCGAGCTGAGCTGAGGTTTAACAGCAGCTTCACGAGGAAGTGAATGTGACCCGCAGGGTCCAGATACACACACCGAAAACAGCTCTAATCCCCGTCACGGGCACAAACCGTACCAGTTACCCACAATCCCACACACACAAAACCAGAAGATCTTTCTTTAAGACACACACACACACACACACACAGCCTCGTTTGACTGAGTGACGCATACATACGTACATTCATGTAAATCTTAAATTGTTTATATTGTCATAAATGTAACTCTTATCGTACAGCTCTAATCTGATCAATATGACTATAAATCATTAAGATATTAGAAACATTAGTGTCATGATTTTCTGTAAAGACTCGTCGCTCTTCAGCGGTCCATCTGACCGGACGCGAGACAGCTCTTC